AAAAAAAAAAAAAAAAATAAATAAATAAATAAATAAATTGTGAAAAAAATCAAATAAAATTTATGTCTTATGTCTTGTTTGGAGTTAAGTTGAGTATTGTTATTACATGAATATGTATACTTTGATAGAAACATGTCAGTGGGGAAAAAAAATAAAAATAAATAAAATTGGATCACTGAAGTTTTCAGTCAGTTTCTCTCTTCATCTTTTCAAAAATTAAACTCATTTTAGGTTTTGTATTCATTTGTATTTATAAGAAGTTAGAACTCATATATAATTTAATTATATATCTCTATCTCTTGAGAGAGACTCCTAATTAATGAGACAACTAGCTAGCTAAGGGAGCTTTTGAATTGCCTAAAGTGGCTAGTCATGCAATTAAGATGGAATATTATGAGTAATGGATTTATGTATAGTTAAGGATGATATTGGGATATTGGGCAGGTCTAACGGTTAGACAGCCGTGTCGTGATTTCTCGACAGACGTGCATACTTTCAAACTGAATTGTCGTAAACTTAATTTGTTTAAAAAGTATGATGAGTCAAGCCGCCTGACGGTTGGATTGTTTCGTACAAGAATTAATTCTGCCGTAAAAAATGATGGAAGTAAATTGTTTCTTGTGATGGATGCATGCTTAAATTTTCAAAACCTACTCACAATTTTAGTGAGTTATGTAAGATTTCTATAACATATTAACAATTGGGATATATATCCTCTCCGACAAGTGATCGTCTAGTGCTTTTGTTCGACTTAACTATGTCGTTCGATGGGTTCGAATATATGCATGCACGATGATGTCATCTTTATGCACGTGTCGTGTCATTCATACCGTTCATAGAACATCTTGATTAAAGGGTAATAGGCAACATTATTTACATTTGTGTTAGAATATCACTTGTGAGTTGTCCCACATCGTTCATACATGAAAAATAGACCCACCTTATAAGTCTAATGGGCTACTCCTCCATCTACCAATTGGTTTTGGGATGGAATCCCACTTGGGCTTCATCTAAACTTTTTCCTTCTCATGGTGCGCTTTATGTTAGTGGGCCCGCACCCGTTTTTCCCCTCAGTTTCTTACAATTTGAATAAATACATTAATATACCTAGTATAGTTTATTATAGGTTGAAATGTTGCTATCTTGCTGGCAAAATTACTCGATCAGTCGAAAGATTTAGTTATAATTACAACCGAACAATCGTACTTAGGTTGGATTTACGGCCGGTTCATGCATTGTAGAACTGCAAATTTCATGGGAAAAAAACAGTTAATGCATAAGCTGATGATAAAGCCACGACTGCAAATTTCATGAAGCCATTCAATTTTGATAAATTTATCAAGCTGATTATCATGATTTGTTCTTACTCATCATCTCAATATTTATATTCATATACATATGCTCATCAGAGAAGTCTTTACAAACTACAAATTTCAACACAAATATTCAGGTAACAACATTCATACAATCTGAAGATCATCGAGGCGGCGGCCTTATCATCCACAATCAAACGGAACAAGAAAACACACACACACACACACACACACAACACATAGAAACAAATCAAATAAAAGATGTGAAAACTTTTGCATTAATTCGTGTTCGTAGATCTTTATATTTTCTCCTCTTGTATTTCCCTTTTCTTTAGTACCCCCATTTTTTTTTTAAAGTTTTTCTTACTTCACCTTTGAAGCACTTCCAAGCCTTAGCTCGAGATCGAGCTCCTCAACTGGCCCGGAACACGATTTAATCACCTCCGGTTGCACGACGATACATCTCTCGACTTCACTCAAAATCGGGACCAAATCCTCCGAACCCGCCCGTTTCTCCTCAACCCTTCTCTTCTTGCCGCTCCTCATCTCATCCTCATCGACCAAATCAAACACTAAACCCGAACCCAAAACCGAGACCTCCCGAACCCGTTTTTGGGCCACAAAGCCCGATCGCGAAGCTGGTCCTGACAAAACCCTAGTCACGCAAAACCCGCTGCGAGGCCCGGGAATTTCCGGGCAATTAGGGTTAGGAAAAACCGGCGGGTCGGGTTGTTGCTTGAGGCGGGCCCGGTCTCGCCGGTGGACGTTCATGTGGCCACCGAGGGCTTGTGCCGACCGGAATTCGCGGTGGCAGAAGGTGCAAGAGTAGGATCTCGGCGGCCAAACGCAGCCGCCGCCGAGGGCTCCGGCGGAATCCACGGCGAAGGCTTGCTCTTCCCACGAGTCGGTTGATGGGTTTGCGGGTCGGGTCTTGGACCACATCCAGTACCTCGGTTGATCCATTTAGGAGTACTACTGTTGGAAAATATAGGACAATAAAAAAGGGCTTCTACTTTTTAATTTAACTAGCAAATGTTTGAGGAGTTAAGGGCTTGTTTGGAGGTGTGGTGACTGTCTTATGAATGACCATAGATTGAAATTTATGAGGAATTAATTTAGATTAAATTTTTGAATGATTGCTTCAAAATTAGGGGAAATTTTGGTTGGTTTAAGGGGGGTTTGAAGGTGGTAGGGGTGGTGGCCTGGTGGGCACTCTCTAGATTTGGCTGTTTTCATGCAGCTAATATATTTACAATAATGCTAAGGAGCCAACGGTTGGCTCCATTATGAAACCAACAACCAATGGGACAACTCCATGTGAGGCTGTCCCACATGGCTCCAATGTGGGACAGCCCCACATGGAGCTGTCCCATTGGTTGTTGGCTCCGTAACGAAGCCAACAGTTGGCTCCTTAGCATTACTGAATATATTTAATGTTCTTTTTTTAACGCAAATTTTTATGTGAGACGCTCTAACGGTTAGAGGAGTCAACTCATCACACTGTCTTAATAAAAATGCATATTTATGCTATAATATGTCTCACTTATGTTTATTTTATCTTATATAATATAACATTTCAATTCAAAAGAATGCATATCTGTTTAGAAAGTATGATTTTTTTTTTTTTTTTTCGGAACGATAGATAGATAAAAAGTATGATTGATCCTACTTAACAATACCTTTATCAATTTTTTGGTTATGAGGTTTTAGTTTATATGGATTAATGTTTTAATTAAGTATTATTCCCGCTGGTAATATGATAATTTTAAATAATACCTCTTTTATGATTACCTACTAAATACCATATTTTGCTATAAATTGGTTCATACGTTTATATGCCGCAAAATACCGGTTTAACCAGAAAATACTTGCCAAAAACCCGATATATTTTTGTTTCATATGATTTTATATTTTTATATAAATCTAAAGTTCTAAACTTAATAATGTTTTATATTCATGTTATTATTATTTAATTTAAAATTAACTTCAATATTAATTAAGTTGATTTTATGTATAAATTCTTTTAATATAATTATAAGATAATTAATATATATATAAAATGGTTAAACCCGATAGCTTGGCCGAGATAGAACAATTTTTTTATATTTTACTGTTTTCACTGGAGATCTATGTTAGAATATTTAAAACAATACAAATTAGTGCAGATGCCGAAATATTCTAATTGTTTTTTTTTTTATTCTTTTTAAAATTTTTATTTGGAATTCTGTTTCTGTCTGGTAGTTTTTATTTCATGAAGGATGGGTCCCACGGTGGACACTCGTAAAATACGGTCATCGTTTGCGTTGAAATTGGATGAAAATAACTGAGATTGAGTGAGTTCATGATGATGTCTTGATTGGAGTTTAGAAGAAAATAATCTCACTTTCTTTTTTTTTTTTTTGTCAGTATTTTATGGTCGAGTCTAGCTGACTCGACCATAAACGAGCAAGAGTTCGAACATAAGTTACTTGAATTTGATCGACTCGAGTAGCACTTTTACTTATAGTGTTTTACGTAAAATAAGAAATGTTTTGGTTGAAAATTTTTAATTTATACTTATTATAAATTGAGTTTTCTTGAGGAATTGTAATTTAGAGTTGAAATTATCACCCAAGAGCACTTGGATGAGATGACTTGGATCTCTTCCAGCTTAACCAGTGGTCTCGTGTTCGAGTCTTGGGAATGCAACAGTGTTAAAACTTTTGAGCGAGAGCTTTGCGGCCCTTGTGGTCCTACCCGGCTCGATTCCGGATTAGTCGGTTCCCATGTGGATCCAGAAACCGGAAGGTCCTGTAAAAAAAAAAAAAGAGAGTTGAAATTATCAACCAATTTTCAGCTTCCTTTTTCCTTAATTTAATTCCTTCTATCTGTATTTATTTTATAATATATTTAGATTATTTGTGAAATATAGGACATTGCTTACCAGATTTCTCGTGTCCTTGGCCCTTAATTGACCCGTGTCCCTAAAGGCTAATACCATTAGAAAAAACATTAATTCTGTTTTTATCAAAAATTAATTGTTAGGTAAATACATTTCATTAAACTAGTACGTAACCCGTGCGATGCACGGTATGTAAAATTTGGATGAATAATATAACCTCACGTGCATTAGGATCGAAATCGAAATCATTAAAATACGTAGAAACATTATTGAGTCATAAAATGATCGTGATTTCACAATCATGTATTATTAAAAACCTCCTTGTACACAACATTATAAGTTTGATTATTTGCTAATTCCTCATTATCACAAACTAATATTTTCAACCCCCTTCTATTAGTTACACGTGAAACAGCAACATATAATTGGCCGTGACTAAAAACAGGTTTCTTCAGCAAAAGACCGACTTGCGATAAAGACTGTCCCTGAGTCTTGTTTATGGTCATGACATATGAAACATAAGTGGGAACTGCTTCAAAGCAATTTTTGTACAACAATTAGATGTTATGTCAAATTATTAAAAAGATTTTGATCAGATTTTCAGTTTAAATAACCATTTAAAAG